CCTATTTTGCCATATTTAAGATTTTGCAAAAATTCATATAAATCAGGCATGCATACATAATTTAGTGTAGAATAATAAGCTAGCTAGATAGAAGGGAAGTAAGTTATTATTTTCAAATCATAGTATTCATTCTCTCAAAATTAATTTTTAACTCAGAAATGACTCATTGCTTACTTGCCTATATTCTGTGTGCAGGGATATAGAAGAGGAATTAGTTTTTTGAATATTGCCTATCAGTCAAGACTATTAGTTGCTTTTACAAAATAGTGTTTTAAGTAAAGAAAGAATATACTATATAGGAAATAACATAAGGTTCTAATTCTCATGCACTTTTCTTACTAATAACTACACATAACAAGTCAAGAGATGTATACTTTTCTGCACATAGAGGAGAAAACAAAAGTGAAAATGAAGTGGTCCATTTGATGAATAACAAATATCTAACACTATTCTAGTTTTGCTAAACCAAGATCCAATTATCTCCCACATTTCTTGAGTTTTTACAAACTACGTATGAATGTAAATAGAATTGAAAGAACAAAGAACCTAAAGAAGGAAAGAATTAAAGAACAAAGTAGAGTTGCAGTACAGAAAATGTTTAATGCCTAAATAATATCTTTGTGCCAAAAAAAAAAGTGGTTCAAAAATACTTAGTGTAAGGCAGCTTGCAAACTGTCCAGCTCAGTTTGCAAAGTGCTTGTTAAAATTACCATACAGCAGCTTTTGCTCTCTAAGTAGAACTCCCAGAAAATTTGCTTGGAGTGGAAAAATGCAAATTGGGTTATGAGGTAATTTTGTACTCTAGGGACAGTTTTTTTTTTTTATTTCACATGTTGGAAAAGGTTCATTATTATTTATAAAGCAGAACAAGCCCCAAAGCCAATCCATTTTCAGCCTCATTGTCACTTTCTGCATTCCAAACACCACTAAATTCCCCAAAGAGTAGGCTAATTCTTTCCTCCCAGAGCCATAAAACTTGCTTAGTGTATTACTACCTTAAGTGACAGCACTTTATTCAAAAGAATTCTTATTCTCCATGTCAAGCATTCAGACATCTTATTTTGATGTGGCCATAACTTTGATAAAAGAGAAGTAGGCTTATTTCTTGCTTTTTGTGATTGAGTTTTGTTTCTTTGAGCATCTTGGTCTTATAGTAATGGAGGCTGCTGAAATACTTCCGAGTATGAGCTTAGAAGGCAGTTATACTAATTAGCATATTACATGTTTAAGTTGCACTCTCAAAATTTATTTTTCAAGGAGATCCATAGCAAAAGAAACTGAAAAAATTTCATAAACACGTGGAAATTGAACAACACACTTCTGAATAGCTGGTGGGTCACAGAGGAAATTAAAGAAGAAATCAGACAGTTCCTTCGATTAAATGACAATGACAATACAACATATCAGGATCTATGGGACACAATGAAAGCAGTCTTATGAGGGAAATTCATAGCAGTGAATA